AAAAAATCTGTTTTCTTCTCCTAAAAATTGGTGAGCCTTATGGAGAGGTCTGTCTTATGGAGCGAAAAATACGGTAACTTTTCCAAGCTCTGGCATCTGGACAACAGCTTCATCCTCAGTGAATGCAGCATTCAGGTGGAAAGGAATCCAAGGATCATCTAGCCCATCACCCTGCCAATGGACTCTGGCATTGGTAGGAGTTAGACTAGATGACCCTAGAGTTCTCTTCCAGTTCTAAAATGCTAGAGCTGAACCAAGTACAAAGGGAAAGGCACAAGCCATCAGCACTCTGGCATCTGGACAACAGCTTCATCCTCAGTGAATGCAGCATTCAGGTGGAAAGGAATCCAAGGATCATCTAGCCCATCACCCTGCCAATGGACTCTGGCATTGGTAGGAGTTAGACTAGATGACCCTAGAGTTCTCTTCCAGTTCTAAAATGCTAGAGCTGAACCAAGTACAAAGGGAAAGGCACAAGCCATCAGCATAGTGAGGAGATAATCTTTGAGCAGAGAATTGGTCCTGACTTTTAGGAGCCAAGCTGAAGGAATGTAGTGATTTCTCGTACCAGTGATCCCAGCGCTTGGTGTAAGGAACCAAACTGGCTTCCAGATAGTCCTTCCTAAGAAACCATACCCATGGCAGCATGGAAACTCCTCCCTCTCAAAACATGCTACACATTTTTTTGAAATTTCTTAAATAGGTAGAAGCTTTCTCCAATTTAACTGGTGAATTTGGGCACACAAGCAGAGTTACTATGGCTGTTTGACCATTGAGAGCTAAAGAAAATTCAGTATCAGAACTTAGTCATGAGGTCAACATGACAAATAAGTTAGCTGGGAAGTGCTGAAGGCGAATGGATCAAATCTTCCCATTGAAACATTTCCCTGATTAAAGCTGATTCCACCCAAGCTGTTGTTAGCTACAGAGGAAGGGGCAAAGAGAAGAACTGAGGGGGGGTGAAGAACCACATCACTAAAGAGCCATCTTTCATAGGAAAACTTGAACAGACCTTGAACTGAAGCCTTGCTTAACAGAAAGAAAAGCTTCTTTTCATAAAGAAAGAAAAGATGTGCATACAAAAAGCGACATTTCCCCCTTGATTCTCAGTGCAGGTACAATGGCAGGAAGATATTATTGTTTGAATAGCTGCTATAAAAAGAAAGGATGGCTTTGAAACAGATACTTGACCTATGACCAATCAAAATGTGCAGGTTCATGTCTGGGGGGAAAAACCTGTCCAAAACACTTTTTTCACTAAATCCTAACTGCCCATTGCATTTGGTTGTACTTTCAGTAACTAAAAGGAAAAGGAGTTGTTCAATGCCTTTGAGCAACAGTGTAGAGCAGGGGTCTCCAAACTTTTCACAGCGAGGGCCACATAATATAGTTTTGATATTTTCGAGGGACAAAAGAATGCCCGCATACACACTCCCACCCACCCACCTACACACATGCACACATGCCCACCCACCTGCCCGTGTGCACACACTCTCGCACACCCACCCGTCTGCACTCCCATCCACCTGCCTGCACCCCTATCCACCCACCCGCATGCCAACACACACTCCTGCCTACCCACCCACATGCATGCACGCCTGCACACCCACACTTACTCGCATCTGCCTGCCCGCACACACGCACTCCTGCTCACCCATGTGCCCGGGCTGGATAAAAAGGCCAGGTGGGCCAGATGTGGGCCACGGGCCGTACTTTGGAGACCCCTGCTTTAGGGGTAGGCAAGCATCCAATTCTCACTCCCCCTTAAGCCTTCCCTATTTGGTTAAACAGGGCATGCTTTCTCAACATTAAAGACATTTTAAACCAACACTGTCTAAACCAACCCTCCATCTTTTCTTGCTGTTTTTCATTCTGCCTTTATTTCCCTCTTGCATCAGCTATGATCTTAAAAACACAGTTTCCAAACTTGCTACTCAAAGTGTTTTCTTTGGTGCTCAGTTTCAAACGCCAGCAGCAGCATGATGCCTTCTTGCCTGCAGTCTAGGACTGTGCTCTTCCCCCTGTGGGCTGGCTTGGAAGCTAAATCTGCTTCCTAACAGATGCTCTGTTTCTGCTGAAGCAGCCTCAAGTGGCCAAAAACAACTACTGGGGCACTATTTGAGGAAGAGAAAAGCCTTCGGTTATTCACATAAGTTACAGCAATAAAGTAATGGGTATTTGCATTTTTGCTTTTCAATATTTGAATTGCATATTAGTACTGACACTGTCTGTGGCATTATACATATGGCCAAATTATGATTGCTATACACACCCACCCACATTGACTCCGAATTCTCCATTTTAGTTAGTTGTTTTTATTCTGCTGAAAGAAACACAGAAAAAGATGAGATTAGCCTCAAAGGCTTAGATGCCTGGTTTTACCAAACTTAAGAAGTTATTAAAGCAAAGATCAGGCACCTCTACCCCCAGACTAGATGAAGTCCCCAGTGCTTCTCCATTAACTTACTTTCTTCTTCTTCTGTTATTCCCTATAGATACAGCATAAGAAGATAAGGCAGAATAGGTTATTTAAAGTCTGGGAGCCTTCTATGTGGAACCAAACTTTGCTCTGCAATCCAGAAACCTTTCTAAGAGCTCTGTTTTGCAGCCTGGAAAGTTGCTGAATGATACCAAGTTCTGGCTTGCTCCAGTATTTAGAATAATGAAGCCAAAACGGCACTTCACACCAGCCGTGACCCACTTATTTTAATATTCTATCATGTTTCTAAGTGTTTGGGTTGTAGTTCAGGTATGAGCAACAGGCAGTTCTAGATTTTGTTGGACTGCCACACCCATAATCCCCAGTTAGCATACCCAATGTTGAAGAATGATGGGAAGTGTAATCCAAAAATGTCTGTAGGGTTTTAAGTTGCTCAGCCTATACCGTGTTACCTTATTTATTGTCCTCACATTTATCAAAGGAATCCAACATCCACTTAGTTCAAGACTGTATCTCACAATATATTTTGTACTGCAGCACAAACTCAGATATGCAGGGTGCTACAGTG